CATTATTGCAAAATAAATTTTTATATATAAAGAGAACGGTTTTGGTTATATCTTTGTAATAAAAAAATTTGTATATTAAATTTAATTGGTGTAGATCTTAAATTTCATCCCTAATATTCAAAAAAAAATTTATATGTATGAGAACATAAATTTGAATTAAAAACCTTAATTTGAGATGATGTGAACAATTATCTCTATGTATACCTAATTTTACCATAAATAAAATGGTGTCATGGTTATCTATGTTAGTTAATATTTTCTATGTTAAAAAATCATTTTATTGATATAAATTTTTAAAGATAATTGAAGGACAATCAAGAACTACTATAGACAAACCTAGATGAAAGCTATCATGCGGTGATTTTATCAATTTAAGTTAAGTTTTGTGGCTGATTTTCTTTTGAATAAAGTTTAAATAGTTGTTTCCACATCATCAACAAAAACAACTCAGTTATTGTATATTTTTGGAAATATAATTGGCAACAAAAACGAGTTAATTGGTTTTTTTTTTTTTTGTAGATTTTATGATGCCATAGATTTCTAGCACATTGTCAAGAAGTGTTCAGTACTATAAATACATAGAAATAAAATTAAACAAGACAGATCAATTTCTCATATGACATGTCAGTTTCTCACACAATAAATTTTGTTTTATTTTCTTTTTTAATTTTCACAAATAATATCTTAGTTCAATTTTAAATTTCTCAAATAGTTTTCTTAGTTTAGTCTTTAACTTTATACTTCTATAAACTTAGCTTTACTATTTGTTATTTTGTTTGGAATATCTTTATTGATATATTTAATTTCTGACTATTCAATTCAACAAATCTTTTATCAAATTGATGCTTCTTTAGTTTCTATTAAATTTCATTCATGCTGTCAATACACTATTCATTAGACCTGGCAAACGGGCGGGTTGGGTCGGGTTAGGGTCGGGTCAACTCGGGTGACGAGTTAGACGTGTTGGGTTATAAACGGATTGCGGGTTGGAAACATCTAACCCTAACCCGACCCTAACGGGTTGCGGGTCAACCCGCGGGTTAACCTTATTTCATTCTTTATAATTATTTTTCGTTAATTTTATTATACATAAATAAAATTATATATATCTAAATATAATTAAAATATTGTGATTCATTAACACTGAATATTTTA